CGCACGGCACCCTCTAAAAGTGATTTTGTTGCTTTCTGCTCCATCCAAGGGGCACGCTGCCACCCTTTCCTGAGGGAATGAGTTCAGCACAGTTCCACATGAATGGGAGAGAGGCCTCCAAATACAGATCCAATGAGGTCACAGCAAGCTCTTGCAAAAGACACACACTTTCACTCTCATACACACACACACACACTCTGCAGGAGATGGTAATTTTCTTCACAGTGGGAGGGGACGTTCAGTGCGTTACATATTATGAGGAATCAAAGATGGTGTGTGCGTGCATGAGTATGTGTCTGGAGACGTTCAAAGCATAAATTCAAATATTTACAAACAGCTCCCCCACTTCGATATTTAGCTTATCTGTTAAAATCCCATTAATAATATCAATTACCACAACAGTTTGACTGCTTGGGGTCTCTTGTAAGCATGTACTCCGGTCCTGCAGGGACAGTGTCCAGCACCCTGCTCAAACATACCTGATTAAACTTATCTGTTAATTTCCAGGTTTGATAGGTATGTTTGATTAGGGAAACTATTTAACTGTGCTGGACACTGGCTCTCCAGTACTGGAGTTGTGCACCCCTGTGAATGGAAAACAGCCCACCAATGAGCATTAAGTCATCTGCATAGTGCTAATTGGTGACTATCAATTTTCATTTCTTATTAGCAACATTAGCTTTTTTACTTGAACAATTCGTACTTCAGTAGTAGGCCTGTTTTAACTATGCTAGGCTAACAGTGAACAGAAGCCAGTAGCCACCCATTACCAAGATGTCATCTGCATAATGCTAAATGATGGCTGTTGAATTTATTATCAGAAACATTAGCTTTTTAGACGTAACAATTACTTTTGCAGCTGCAGGCCTGTTAGAAACATACAAATGTGGCTACAGGTAGAAGCAAAATAGCTGCCAATTAGCATGAAGTAATTTGTCTAAATGATCCGTTTTCATTTATTATTACTAACATTAGCTCTAGACTAAACGATTAGCTCTTAGCTCTTTGACTGATTGCTTCTGTTTGTAATTGTGGCCTACAACAGTGCTAGGCTGAAAGTGAACGAAAACCACTAGCATGATGTCATGTGTCACATGACATCATAAGCCTTACACTAAATGATGGCTTTTGACTTTCATTTAAGTCAGAAACATTTTATTTTTAGATTGAACAACTCCTTTTGCAGTGGGCCTGTTAATGAAAACCAGCCACCAATTAGAATGATGTTGGCTGCAAAATCCTACATTATGGGTATTCTTTTCATTCATTATTAGCAATATTAGCTTTTTTGGCTGAACAATTCATTGTGCAATTGTTCATTCGCCCAAATTCTAAGTGGTGGCTATTCATTTTCATTTACTAGTAACAACATAACCTTTTTTTGACTGAACTGTTTCTTAAAGCTGCAGTTGGCCTGTTGCTTCATCCAGTTCAGCTGCATCCCCAGGAATCTGCTTGGGGCTAATGACCAGAATACAATTAAAGTGTCATTCATTACACACAAATGTGTCATCTAGCATTTCATCAGCTAGGATGTTCCATTTCTGAATGGTACCAAATGGACATAAAACAAGATGGAGCTGCTAACTGATAACAGATGCCAGTGGCAGCACAAGAATCATGTCTAATCGATCACATTACAGCAGTTCAAGAAGAATCTCTGAAGGCAAGAAAAGAGCCAATATGTTATTCTTAGGGGTGGAACAATATATCAAGAGATGATACATCAGCGTGCAAAAATGTGACAAATGAATTTCATTGAAACGGGTCTGTTAAGGCTTTTAGTAGTTTAGTAAGCAGTTTCAAAATAAATTCAATGATTTAAATGAACAGGAAAAACCATGCACAGTCTTTCTAAGATTCTAAAACACTTTACTGGTGAAAGATAAACTGTGAAACCTTTAAAAATCACATAAATGACATACACGTGGGGACAATAACTGGGATAATATCCACCGAACTCTCTGAACCACACTGTTCTCTGGGCTAACTGAGCTTGTAGGCTTCATGTATGTCTTGTTATATCGGTTTTAAAAAAGCAAACTATCTATTATATATTTCAGAGCTCATAAAAAGATGCTACAACACTTTCACATGTCATAACTTCAGAAATGTGTCTGCTGCAGACACCAAAGACAGTATGTAGCAAAGTCGATATAGAGGTCTGTGGATCCATTGTGGTCCAAACCAAAGATCGTTTGGAAGAGCAGACTGAGACTGACCTCCTCAGAGGGTCTCAGACCGCTTATCTGGTGCGTATCAGGGTTCGTATGACAGCATTCTCACTTGTTCTAACAAACCGCACTAACAAAGCAATTGCACCAGGTGTCGTTTTAGCTATTAAGAGTGAACAGCCTCTAACTGTCGTTTTAGCTATTAAGAGTGAACAGCCTCTAACTGTATTCATCAAAATCACCACCTCCGAACTCCCAATTCTAGTCATGTTTGCATGTTGTGCAATGACATGAACCCAGCATTGTAGGCCAAAACGAACCGTGAGCTAGAGGTCAGCAGACAGTGGCTTCAGCTGCAGGTGCCACATGATCCGTGAAATAATTTGCAGGCAGGATTACTTTTGAACCACGCTGTGGGGGGTATTATGGCTTGCTGGGTGGAGCAGGCTTGGACAATTATTGGCTACTTGTGGAAGCAGACGCGCAGGCAACAAATAAGCGGCAAGTGTGCCGCAGAGAAAAACATGTTAGTAATTATCACACAATGCATAGTCATAATGAAGCTATATGACCTTGACTAAATAACTTATTCTCAGAACCTAACTGCATTTTTTCCAAGAACATGTTTTGGTTTTCCTACCTGTTTGGGTTTTAGCTTAGTGAGTAACACTACTGTCCTCCATGCAGTAATTGGGGGTTTGATTCCCTACCTTGGTAGCCACACCTCACCACACACACACACACACGCACACACGCACATTTTTCTTAGCCGCTTATCCTCCTGGGTCGCGGGGGGTGCTGAAGCTTGATAGCTGACTGTATCGCTACACCCGTAGTTATTAAAAGACTTGACAATATTGGTGGCATGCAGTAAAATTATGGCACTGCCCCTTATTCCCAAACTAATCACAGGCTGGCGTAGCCTCCATGGCCTTGGCCTTTTTATTAATGAGTATGGCCAGTGCGCTGTTTAGGGAACATGTTGTTGCTCATTATTGTGGTGCTGTGGACAGAATGCCTCAGCGGGCCATTGCTACTGCTCCCTGGACACAGCTGAGAGAAGAGGAGAATACTAATGTGGGTATACAAACTCAAGAGACAAACACACACATACAGAGTAATGCCTGGAAGAAAGCTGGAGCTGGGTCAGAGGAACCAGGGTTGCCATGCTTCTGCAAACTCACCGATGCCAACCAGAGGCAGACAGGAAAAAAAAAAGTTCTGCTATTTGACCACAAGCTACACAAGCACAGGGTGCTTGAAACGATGACCCACGGTGCTGCATGCCATCATCTCCCAGCATGCCAGCAGCTAGGGCAAAACACACCTGGCCCAATCCACCCCCTCCTGCATAACAAGCTGTTTCCCTTCCACAAGGGCCAGGGTGAGGCACCCACTAACCAAGCATGTTAAAGGTCACACACTGCACTCACTGGGGAGAAGAGCACTACATTAGTAGCTCTACCAGAGCGAGTACAATACACAATACACCTCAAAACGTCATTTTACAGTTTCACTAAAAGAACTATACCACGATTGCACAAGACATATCGTTCATGTATCATTATCACAATATTGACCTTTGCAATACTGATATCACAGAAGATGATAATATGCAAATGTTCCCTTTACAAAATTACAAACGTTTTTATTCTGTGCTCTGAAAATACCAGAAATGCTTTTATAGACATTTTGAGGATGATGACAATCATGTGACCCAACAAATGTAATAATTTCAATCAAAATAATGCAGGTCAATCTATTTTATGCCAAATCAAAAGGGGTCACCAGAGTGTCTTTTAAAGGGCTCATATCATGAACAGATTTTCCTTGATTTGTTGAAAATTCCAGTCCATACAGCCCATATATTAGAAACTAAACTGCTAGTTTTCTATTCATTGTTTTTGTGACGTCACAGAAACCAACTCATTTACATATATATGCCTTTTCTACAGCATTTTAGCCCCACCCATTCACATTTAAGTTACTTTTTGAATGAGGTGGCCAGTTGCATGTACACTTACATTTAAAAATAAAAAATAAAATACAAGAAAAATGTAGGACATGGGCCCTTTAATATATTGCAAAAATATCCAACGTGATATGCAGCACTGTAAGCACAATATGCTATTTCGTCCATATAGTGCAGGCCGAAATTCTACCATGGAGGCAACTGCAACTGTCCTCTTAATGGGAGCCATCCTTTCACCTTCAGTTAAACGTCACATTGCAATGCCTGACACATTGATGGCCTACAGATACTGCTGCTGGACCTACTGCACCCAGCTCCTCCTTCCCCCTCCCAGGATGACTACGTGATGAAAACATTGCGCCTGTTCCATTTTTCCCCTCACGTCGCATCCACTGCATCCGTCTGCATCAGATGGAGGATAATGACACCCGCGCACATGCGACGCTGCGGCTTTAGTCAGTGCAGTTTCCGGCATGGAGAAGCATTCGGCGGGGTGTTGTATGACCGTGTAACGTACTAAAGCTGCTAGGGTAGTGGGGGCCGGAGAGGGGGGGCTTTGAGCTCTGAAGGGGTTGAAGCTCTGAGGGCGCTGCGCCTCTGCAGTATGCCGAAACTGAAACGGCTAAGCTAACAGGGATGTAGCCATGGATTTTATAAAGTGCACGCGTTTGTTTTCATGCAGAGCTTTGATTTGCTATTCTACTCCAAGATGCATTGCGCCATCACTGACAGCAGTGTTTTTCCCCCTCAGCCCTTTTGGAATCACACCAGTTCTCACAGACACAGCCGCTTTCTCATTCAAACTTACAGTGATTCGTACCTAAAAAAAGAAAATGTCTCAGTCGGGTTCTTACCTGCCAACGGTCTGGTTGGCGAGCTGTCGCATTCGATTGAATTGCTTCTTCATCTTCTGTGTTTTCTAACAGTTATTTTTTAGCTTTTTCCTGCGTTAACAGCACCGGCGAAAAAGACCCCGCATGTCTGTGAGAATGAAGGCCCATATGACGGCGTCCGCCCAGTCCCACAGCCTCTGCTTCATCGCAGGAGAGAAAACGCGGAGGACCCCAAAGACATTTTCAGCGCGTTTCCTTTCCTCTCCTCCTCTCTGTACTGCTCCTCGGGAGGAGATGCTGGGCGAAGTGACAGCGCAGCGCCGAGGAGCTGCCGCGCGCCAGGTGTACTATGGGAAATGTAGTTTCTACATGGTACGTTCTGAAAGACGCTGCGAGCTCCAGCGAATCACTTTATCTTTGACAGTGTCATCTGTATGATGGAAGGTAGGTCATTTTGAGACATAGTACTGTACGGTTTGAATGATCAGTTTAGACTTTAAAACTTGACGAACCGGCGTTAAAAGAACGCGAGACGAAGAGTTAACGTTTCAATTTTTCACAAGCCGTCAGACAAATATAACACTACCACCTAGTGGTCACACATAGAACATATTTGTCAGGGGCTCTTGTGCGGCTCCACGGCGTTGGAATTTTAAGTAATTTTCAAATTAATATCATTATATATTTTTTGTCAATTTGTTGTCAATTTGTTTTAGAAACCGTTGAGGACTTAACAGAATTAACGCTCTAATCTGGGTTCTAAATTTAAACATAAAGAACTGAAACACAGCTAATTTTGTAATTATAATAATAAAAAAGACATTAACTTTGATTGACTCGACATGCGAAATAAATGACATCACTGGAATAATCTCTGTAACTTAGAGGAGCACTCCACCAAAATTAAATTAAAATTTTCTAAATTTAATGTTCAAGAGTGATGATGTATCTTATAGGTGGGAAGTAAAATACAACGGCTTTGCGGCGAATATTTTATTTTTCTGCTGCTAGGAAGCCGAATATTATAACTGTGTTTATTTGCCTCTACGTCAGCGGATGCCTTTACTGATGTTGGTGGGAGCGGGGAGTCCTTATGGCTGCATGGCGTATTGGCACAATGCATGCTGGGTATTGTAGTGAGAAAAAAGGATATACACACACTTAAAAAAAAGATTCTTCAATGATTCTCCTGTTTAGAACCATAAGTTCAATATAGGAACAATCCATACTTTAATGGTTCTCTGCATGGTGAAATGGTTCTTCAGATTAATGGAGAACGTGTTACAGCTCTGTATAGAACCGTTTGGAAAATGGCCCTATATGGCACCAAAAAGGGTTCTTCTTTTATTACAAGCTTGACATCGTTACAATAGAAGAACGCTTTTTGGTGCCATATAAAACCCTTTTCAAAAAGATTCTATATAGGACCATATGCAACATATTCTCCATCAGTCTGAAGAAATTTATGGCATGCAAAGAACAATTTAAGCATGAAATGCTTCTATATAGAATTCATGATTCTAAACAGAACCATTGCCTTTACTATAAAATCGTGAATTGTGTGAAATAAGTCTGAGGGATGTAAAGCTGAGCTACAGAATATATATAACATGACAAATAACAGATGCTGGGCTGGAACGCCCCTGCTTGTCTGCTGTATTGAACGCAGGTCGCCATTAGATGGCGCTCTTTCATTGAGAAAGTCTTGCGTGTTCACTGCGTGTATGATGATGCTGTGTGATCTCAAATTGTAACAAAGATCTCTGTAAACTCCCAAATGTGGTGAGCAATAGCACAGGTGAAGGACATTAAACAACATAAAAACAAGACTATTATATGACTTAAATACCTCTAAAATATAAGAAAATACATATTTAAGAAAAAATACTTAAAGAAAGCAAAGCTACTTACTGAAACTGTCATTTGATCAGATTACTTGAAATAACTGTCTGAAAATAGAATATATTGGTAGGGAAAGTGGTAGATGAATAGGTATAATTCATTACGGAATAAATGAGATTGAAAAAAGAATAGTATTCAGACTACAGAGTGTTTTCACCAGATAGCTTATTGCATGATGGATGTTACTGGCAGGTGTGACTTTCCCCTTCAAACCATGTATAGTAATGAGTCTTTCATAGTGTTACCTTGAAATGTGACTAACATTGAAAACAGTCCTGAAACTGACAACCATAAATACATAAATGCATATAAAATGCATAAGAATGCTATCAGGCATTTATTTTTGGTGAATTTCATGTCTAAAAATACCTAAGGTGTGGACAGTCGAGTGGAGGTGATGAAGCAAAGTGCTGACAGGCTCCAGTGTGAAAATTTGAGGACAGAACCATATGGGGTGATTCTGATTCATTTACAAGAGCTAACAATGCTGTAATATCACACATCTGAGCAGACTGCTGAACGTGCAATCTGCTCTCATTCAACGATACAAACATACAAACCTGCACACACACATGCACTCACTCACACAGACCAATGCACAAACCATCAAATAATAATAATGATAATAATAATAATAATAATAACAATCATAATACTTATAATAATAACAATCATAATAACAATAATATATTTTGTTTAAGTGCTCCAAGGAGACAACAAGATATTAGAGTATTAAAAAACATCCAGGTTCCTATCAAAATCAAAAGAAATAGAAAATAAGAAAAAGGATGTTCAGTTTCTGTTTCAGTGAGTGCCTGTGTTTGGCTTCCCCTACTCTCCAAACAGCCTTTCATCTTGTTGCTTTTTAATAATCTTTTATCTAAACTAGGGGTGCCTACATTTTCTGAATTGGGACACCAAAGTGTAATGTTTGAGGTAGAGAGAAGGCCAAAAAGACAAATTGTTCAGCTAGCTTGTTACCCTTACATTTTTTGCACATAGTCGGTATGTGGGGGAAAGTTTGGAGCATATGTGCTTACATAATATTGTTCATAATTTTGTAGCCTCTTTCTGCAGGTCCACCTGTGGCCATTCTGCTGGAGGAATGGAAATCGATTCTGATATTTAATTAACACAATAAAATTAGATATTTTTCAGATTACCAGATTACCGTAGACCCTGTTGACTCTCTGTGTGAAATGTAGTGACTTTGTGTTGAGCTGCTAACGAGCAACCTCTTCACAAAGATGGCCGTGCTGAGATAAAACAGACAACACTGCTGACAACAACTGCAGCTTTCTTCATATCAAAATAATTAAGTACAACTGTCACAATAAATATAGCGTAAAATATTATAAATGTTTACTTGCTTGCTTCACCTACAAAGACATAAATCCAGTTTGCTTTTGGTTTTGTAAATCATACACAAATATCGAAATATATTCCAACAACATTATTGAAGAAAAAAAATGCGTATTTCAAAAACTGAGGGACCTCCAAAACAGGTGGAAATGGCATTTTATGGCTACTGTGAAAAGAGTTAAATACTGTGATTGTTTCTTTACGTACTATAATGCAGGCGTTTTGGCTTTAAACTTTGTACAATGTACAATGAAGAACAAATGAATTTCAGTTTGTTCCTTTTCTACTTTTTAAGTTCTGAAAAAAAAAGTGTAATCTGGTCTCGGTCTTGACTTGCACTTGACTTCTACAAACTCTTGGTCTTGGACTTGATGTGTCCAGGTCTCTGTCTTGGTTCGAGCTCGCCTCTAGTGGTCTTCACTGCAACACAAATATATGTGATTTTACCTCTGTGTTGCATTTAGTGATGACTGTGTGATAGTAAGGGTCATAGATTTTGAAAATTTTTTATTTTATAAAATTTGACTATGTGTTTTGTTGTGAAAAGTAATTGAAAAAAATCTGATCTTTTCTAAAGAAAAACACAAAAGTGCAATAAAAGTGTTTGTTGTGCATGAGGTGGTGGGTGAGTTAGGGCAACCGTCTGGTGGGCCAAATCATTGTCTTTGGGGCAGCCCTTATCTAAACCTTTTTTTGCATAAGCTTTTTATCTAAATTCGCCAGTTCCATGACATTCATCAACTTTACTTTGCTCTGATAGTTTACCATTGAATCCTACATTACACTATGCCACAGTGTCCACAGTGACAACAACCAGTTAATGAGGTACAGTTACAAAAACAGAACCACTTAACAAAGGACTGGACCTTTGTACGATAACCCTCCAAACAAAACAGCGTTGCCCCCCGACTGGCTGTTGTGCAGTCTGTTAGGGCGTAATGAGGCAACAGGTGGGCAGCACACCGTGGCCTCAGGGTTCAGTGGCCCTCTTGAGTAAGTGATACTGAAAAATGGTACCTCGCTGCTCCTATCATGGAGGCCTCATCAATCTGGGCTGCTGGAAATGGAGAGGAGATCCTCAGAGCCTTGATCTCGGCCCTCTGACCCGCCTCCATCATTAGTTTTCATTAGTTCGGACTCAGACGCTAAGCCTGGCGCAGCAGTAGCATGGCTTTTAGTGCCCGCGTGCTTTAAAGCTCCATGTGCGGACCTCTAACCCTCTAACCTGCAGCTTCTGAGCCTCTCCAGGCTCCTCTAAATCAATATGGAAGGAAGCCTCGACATCTGCACTCTTGCAGAAGACCCCTGCTGCTGGTTTCCTGGAGAAAGCCTCTCCATCATCCTCTCTTGGTTGCACGTGGAGGAAAGAATGCAAAGGGCAAAGAGGTCAAAGGCCATAGAGCATACTGTATCTCCGTTTGCTACAAATGTGAATGCTGAGCCTGCCTAATGAGCAGTGCAAGCAATGCATTATTATTCATTTACCCCTGCGATGCAGGTTACTGACAGGAGTAAATGGACTATTATGTTATGCCCATATGTGTCCATGCGTGTTGTGCTTATATTATGTTAGGGCTTCATTGTCCTTGCCCTTGTCCAGCTGGGGTCTAGCTGCTCTTCAGTAGTACTAATGAAGCTGTTTCTCTAAGGGTCATGCCCTCTGTAATCCATGTGTTATTGATACCTGAGCTAGACATTGGCAGTGACCTGCCATGACATGCCTGTGACAGACACTTTCTTGTCTCTATGTTCCATAGCCTCCTTCATCTGACCACTCTGCTTATAACCATTTGTATGATGTAGCTATTTCATCATAAAACAAAGTAGTGCTGTTCATTAAAGTGACTTTATTTGATTTGATATTATAAAATATATTAATGTTCAATAACTAGTTTAATACACATTATATGTCCAATGGTTTGTAGACACCTGCCACTGTAACATTTCTTCCAAAATCAAGAGTATTAATAAGGAGTTTTTTCCCATTTGCTGCAGTAGCAGCCTCTAATCTTCTGTGAAGGCTTTACATTAGTTGCTGGAACACTGCTTTTGATTGCATTCAGCCACTAGAA